ACATATATATATTAACTTTCAAGTTTATTTATTTTACAACAATTGTTAAAAGGTTATATAACTTAGTATATTAATCACTGTTTTTGGCCTGGATATTAGTGCGCAGGGGGTCTAAAATGTGGGAGGGAACCACATAACCTGGAGGCCACCCATATAAGGTGGTCAGGCAGGTGACCCCATGCTTTTTCATGTCCGATCAGGGAGTTGAACCCCAGCCACCTTGGTTAAAGGCAATTGCGCTATTCACTATGCCACCTGACCTTTGATCCATTCTTTGTTCTTTTTAAAGAGTCATATGGAAATCAGTGCATTTACATCATGGTGGGGTCACAATAACCTCAGTTCTGTATTGTTAAACCCTCGCCATAAAATGGGGGGGGCATATAAGTGATGCCCATGTCCATCCCGTCCCGTCCCGATTCAATGTAAACCCCCGTCCGTCCCGTCCCAATTCAATGTAAACACTTAGCAACTTCATTCTTTGACAGATTTTGGTCAAACTTTATACAAAGGTACAACCCTCCATAAAATGAGGGGGGGGGAGGGCTTACAGTGTTGCCCATGTTTGTCCCGTCCCGTTTTGTCCCGATTCAATGTAAACACCCGTCCGTCCCGCCCGATTTAATGTGAACATTTAGCAACTTCATTCTTTGACAGATTTTGGTCAAACTTTATACAAAGGTCAAGTATGAGTATACTTCAGACATCATTGTGTTTCAGGGATCCAAGGTCAAGGCCAAGGTCGCACTTGCTATATATAGAAAATCATCAACTGATTCAATTTAAACACTTAGCAACTTCATTCAATATGTTATGGAGATGGTAATAACATACAGAAAAAACATATAAATATTAAAATCAACTTTAAGTGTAGTACCTTGTGTGTGTGCATGTTTTAGGGTATCAAGATCAAAGTGGTTGTAACTTTTTATAGACCACTGAAACTAATTTCACATGGCAGTGGGGGCATTTATGTCTTACAGACATACATTTCTAGTTTCATATAAAACCTGTGATGTGCCATGGTAATCATTAAGTCCCCTATACCCTTCCAGCCATATCTGCTTTTCAACCTCATTGAATGACGAAGCACTGACATATAAAATAAGATGACAAATTATAAACAAATTCATGTGTATGCTATGTATATATAATGAAATAGAAAATTGGTCTTTTTCAAACAAAATTTTACGCTTGGGTGATATGGCCAATAGCATTTATTTTAAACTGCTTTTTTCATGCAAAAAAAACATCAAACAGATGAATTCTTTAGCATAAAATGTACATGTAACTTTAGCTAGTTCACGTAAAGTAATATCTCAAATTCCATGGACTGATGACCAAAGCCTGCTAATAATCATTATAGTGAAGGTCTTGTAAAATTGCAGTAACTGCTGGTAAAATGTTTATATTTGTGTATTATTTACAACTGTTTACTGGCAAGTGAAGGCCATGGTCTTAGAATAGCACCTCAATAAAACTCCATGTCACTTAACAACCAACTAATTAATATTTGTGATATTCCTGACTTGTGGTTACAGATATTGATTTTCCTCCTCATAACAGTCACGTTCATTGTTTGGCATGTGCACATTGTGGAAATTGTATTTTAGAACGCATTTAAACATTCTTCTAGCCTGGCTGTTTTCCCAGAACACATTTTTTTTGTAAAGCAATGTGAACACTCGACAAACCAGATTGTTCCTCCTTGTAAAACTAGCTGATGATGTAAGACGGAGGCCGTATAGCTACAGTACCAATTTGATGTCACTGCCAATAGCCTTGGCCGTGTAGTAGTGTACTCATTAAATAGGCATGTGTTCAACTATTGTCTAGAGAATTTAAAAAGTATATGTGTATATTAAAGCATGATCTTAGCTCATTATTATTTCCATAATAAATAAATTAAATTAACCTATGTGTACTGTATACGTTTGTACCTCAATTCTAATGTATTTCCCCCAAAAATGTTTTGTAATCAGTATAGCGCCAGACTTTTTCAAATTTGAAACAATTCACTAGACAAAAGAAATGATTAAGATAAAACCTTGGAAGGAAAAATTGGAGTCCCTTGCAATTTTTGACTTCCTTCGAAAAAACCTGAAAAGGTAAACATGATTTTTGAACTACTAAGACAAAAATATATTTTTTCTCTTACTGATTTCTGTCTTAATTGAGAAACCAAAATTTGATTTGTAAACATGATCTGTTTGAGTAAATATTATCAGTTACAATGTATTGATGTTATCCACTGTATCATGTTATGTACAAACCAATTTTGTGTACAAATGACAAGATTCATAGGCCTCCAATACCAGTATAGGGTAAAACCTTGCTATACCGCCACAATTTGTCCAGATAAATTTTGGCATTATAAAGGGGGTTAGGATTAAATAAGGTATATATATTAAGGAATTCTTAACAAGAAGAGAAATAAGGTACTTTGAAATATGTTGACGGTATGTGAGGTGGCAAATCAAACGAAGGGCATTATATTAAGGTTTAACTGTAGTCAGGTGTCCTTCTAAAGGAAATCTCTGTTTATCAACTCCCAGGCCGTCCTGTAATGGCAGTGAGTAACGTGAGTGCAGGCAAATTCGCCATGCACCCAAATTCCCCCAACCTGTGACGAAAATGCCCTATGACGTCACACTACATAATTATAAGAAGTGACGTAAAAAACGTCACCATAGTCACAGTTAAAGCCTTCAAATATTTTGACAAGAAGAGGTATAAGAAGGGAAAAGTTATGTAATTAATTAAAACAGTTATAAAATATCTTGTAACACAACTAATCTAAAGAAAATGGTATGTGCGACGCACATCTCGTCAACTCAATTCTCATTGATCTGATGCCATGCATTACATACAAATTGAAAATATCGATATCTCAACGGTAATTGCAGTTTTATGCTCGACTGAGCAATCAATGCAAGTAAATTGTTTTTTTACAAGTGTACTTTGGTAAATACAACGTACTGATGGTCCACTGCTAGTTTGTCGAAATCACGATCGGAAAAGATTTGATAACTCATTTTCCGTTTTCATGCATTGTGTATTTAGAAAACAATCAACCAGTATCTTTTTAAAAGCATTTTTTGAGTCTAACATTCAGCCATCTTACAACACTTTAATTAAAATATCATCTAGAAATTTTCTAGATTTATATCTGAAAAGAATTTGTTGTCGGCCTTAAAGTAGGGGCCTATACTGCTGTACAATGGCATGATGATTGTACGTAGATTAGAGACCGACAATTAACAAGCGTTGTTACCAAAGACTGATTTTTACATGAAAAAGTAAGTACATTTACAAAACGGGCAGGGGCAGCAGTCTCTCTTAAAGAAGTTTTCAACTCCATTTTTTTTTTAAATTTGTCAGATGTTTTCGTTGACGTGCAACTTCAAAATCGGATATATACATGTGATAAATTTTCCAAAAGTCGGNGAAAAAAAACATTTGGGCACCGATTTGGTCGTTTATATTTGTTCAGGACTGAGTCTTCATTACGATGCATGTGAATTCGCCTCATTTCAGCCGATCCTAAGCCATCTTAGAATTACTCAAACAGCATTATCCTGTTTCTTCAAGTTACTGAAAATTAAATATCACAACTAAGAAAAGCCATTTATTTCAATGTTAATCATTGTTACACACACACATTTGGAGCTGTCTGTATCAGTACGACTTCTGTTACATAAACATACATTTAAACACTTACATTACAATGTACTTGCAAATTAGTGAAATGTTTGAAGGTGGTGAAATTGCCTGCACATTTGAGCAAAATCATGGAAGGCCTGATGACGTCACAAATATTGCTACACGATGTCATTCAGGCATGTATACAACACTGTGTTTATTTATAGACATTTCAGTCAAATCCTCCTCTGTACTGGTGCTTGTCGGCATTTTGGTACATGTGTATTTGGACGAATTATTAACTGAAATCCTGACTACGTTATAAATAAACATAGGATCTAATCAATCAGTGGATTAACATCCTCTGTCAATTTGATTGGTTAAAATCGTGAACTATGGGAAGCAGTTGTTTATAGATGGACACCTTTTGACTTTTTTAACATCCATTACATACATACATTATGCGTAGTACAGTATATATACCAAACAGAGGATGTCTACATTTTATAAGTGGTTGAATGTAAGGGCACTCAGAACTGATTAAAATTGAAAAATATCAAAGTATTTGAAGTATACACTGTATAGTTGAATAGAATTTCAGGTATCATAAATTTTTAAACCTGGAAATTTAGCTGTGCGACTCTTGCATTTTGATTGGCAAATTTGTCACTGCAACCAAACTCCTATGGGGCAAGACTCATTGATTATAAAGCAATAGAGTCAATCAATCAACAATATAATAAATTGGTAGGGAAACGTCCACAAGTCATGACCAGTGCGGTGTATTATTATCCGCTATGGTAATAATGATACATACAGCTCTTGTTAGTTTATTTTCAAATCTTTAAAAGAAAAACTAGCTAAAGATTATTTTCTTTTCAAAATTTGAAAATTAATTAACTCGGGTTAGATTAACCTGCCAACAATGGTCACTTGCTGCTGAACCTGTATATATCTAATCATGATACATGGCATAGCGTTTAAGATGGAGAAATTAAATTAATAAACAATTAATTACACTCAATTAAAGGCTTTGGCTACACAAGATTGTATGAACGCTTCCCCAAAGACAACGGTACCACATCCCGTCAAGTTTATATTGTACATCTGGAAAGTTCCTATCAGTATAAGAGATTTAGCAGTAACCTTTACACCCATACTCAGATCTAGATATTATATCATATAGATCCCTGGCCATGGTATAGAAGTATAAACATGTTATAATCAGTATGGTTAATTAATCTTAAAGCTTTGTTCTAACATCAAACACAAAAACTGTTAATTTTCTATGAGATATTTTTAAACAGATCAAACTGGAAAAAATAAATGTGGTCGACATTGAACTTTGTGTGTTTTAGCTGACAACCGACAGAAGGCACCTCGGAAGTTACTGAGGCAGGATTTTAGTGTGTTCAACACGCCTGACGATCACAACAAAGCCTTCATCTCCCCACAGCTTTCCCTCGCAGCATTCCGCTTCCTCTCCACATGTAAGTGATTCTTTTCCTTGTGTACATTGTCCTTTTGACGGAAAACCCAGTGCTAGATAAAATAACTTGAAAAATGAGCGACAAATTTTTCAATAGTTTTTATCAGCGTACATGTATATAACAGTTGGGGGATGATTTCTTGTAACATTGGTAACTCTGATGCCTTGATTATAATTTGTTACAGGATATGCCCCTGAGACTGATATACCAGAAACTGTTTGTCACAGTTTAACTTTTACCTTTTTATACCATGTGTAGTAACTACATGAGAAGGGCAATATTTACACTGGGTGAATATAGATTTTACCAGTGAAAGGTCAGAGTTTGACTGGGCTAAAGTGTCCTGGTGTAAATCGCTATCTATTGACAGGTAAATAATAGATTACATCAATCTTCTGCCCGGCCTTCTCTTTTCCCGCCTATACATATATGTAGATAACACTAAGTTTCCCTCACAGTATTTTGCAATATCTCCCTCATAGCCTGCTACTTTCTTGCTAATTGTAAGTAAATCTTTATCTCCTTTAAATCCTTATCTGCTTTCATATGTATGTCAGGAGACATTTATCTTTCTCAAAACTTTCACCTTCCTTCCTACAGTATATGTAATTAAATGTTGATCTCTCCCAGAGCCTTCTGCTTTCTCTCTACATTATAAGTAATTCTGTATCTCTGTTTTTTCTCCAGGTTGGTTAGTAGTACATATTTTGTAAAGGTTCATATAGTACAACCAGTGAAACAATTATGTGTGATGTTTTGATGGTTAGTATGATATATATGCTGTATCTTCATATGAAAAATAAGCGGTAAAGCATCTCTATATTTGTGTCTCCCTGTAGACCTTCCCCTTCCTTTCTGCCTCTTAGTAACCTTCTTACATCATTGTCATGCTGTTGTCATCACTTTTTATACAACCGTCAAATTTGACGGTAGTATTATGGTATGGCGTTGTCCGGCCGGCGTAAACTTTGTTTGTCCGGTAATCTCCACCTACATTTTTCGACTGATCTCTTTGAAACTTAGTATACATGATAATCATGATATGAAGTTGTGTCTCCCCTAAAAGAATTTTGATTCGACAATTTTCTCAAAAGTTATTGCCCTTTATAGATTTGTTCATTTCAGTATTTGATTTTTGTCGGGAAATCTCCTCCTACATTTTTCAACGGATCTCTTTGAAACTTGGTATACCTTATAATCATGATATGAAGTTGTGTCTCCCCTAAAAGAATTTTGATTCGACGATTTTTCCAAAATTTATTGCCTTTTGTTCATTTCAGTATTTTATTTTTTGTTGGAAGATTTTCTCCTACATTTTTTTATAGCATATCAGCTAACCACTCTTAGAATGATGCAGATCTTATTTCAATGTAAGAAAGTATATAACACTTTATGGCATTCAACGGGCGTATTTTGTTCCGCCCCTCGGTACTCTTGTTCCAATTGTAATACATGTGTAATGGTTTCCTCATTGTACCAGTAGCGAGATGGCTTGTGCCACAATGACATGATCTGTATCATTTTCACAGCTGTGGACCTGTTCCATGATGACCTGATATCAGAGAACGTGTTGAAGCGCCTTCTGCAACAGAACATCGTTGAGGAGTACCAGCCTGACTTGAGCGATCAAGCGTCTTTCAAATACCTTTACCAGGACGGAGTTCCCTGCGACTTCTTCATACTTATACTTCAAGGTATACACTTATAACGCTCAGAGCCAACACAGCACTATAAGATACTTGTAACACTCAGAGCCAACACAGCACTATAAGATACTTATAACGCTCAGAGCCAACACAGCACTATAAGATACTTGTAACACTCAGAGCCAACACAGCACTATAAGATACTTGTAACACTCAGAGCCAACAAAGCACTATAAGATACTTGTAACACTCAGAGCCAACACAGCACTATAAGAGACTTATAATGCTCAGAGCCAACACAGCACTATAAGATACTTGAAACACTCAGAGCCAATACAGCACTATAAGATACTTGTAACACTCAGAGCCAACAAAGCACTATAAGATACTTATAACGCTCAGAGCCAACACAGCCCTATAAGATACTTGTAACACTCAGATCCAACAAAGCACTATAAGATACTTGTAACACTCAGATCCAACACAGCACTATAAACTACTTGTAACACTCAGATCCAACAAAGCACTATAAGATACTTGGAACATGTTGTGTTGTACATGTGTAACACACTACATATTTGTGTCACACATTTGTATCATGCTTCCTATATACAATGTGTGACAGACAGTTACCAGATGTAGCTTGCTATGTCAGATGGACATATGTTGGACAATCATTTTTTGAATAAATGAGGTTGATTCCACCCCTGAGGCCTTTATAATGTATCTCCTCCTAAAAACCAGAGAGGATTTTAACCAAATTTTCTTACCATATCTATCTTAATGTTGTTGTATCTCTACACTAGCACTATAAGATACTTGGAACATGTTGTGTTGTACATGTGTAACACACTACATATTTGTGTCACACATTTGTATCATGCTTCCTATATACAATGTGTGACAGACATTTACCAGATGTAGCTTGCTATGTCAGATGTACATATGCTGCACACTTAAATCTTCTCCATGTTGTGTTGTACATGTGTAACACACTACATATTTGTGTCACACATTTGTATCATGCTTCCTATATACAATGTGTGACAGACAGTTACCAGATGTAGCTTGCTATGTCAGATGGACATATGTTGGACAATCATTTTTTGAATAAATGAGGTTGATTCCACCCCTGAGGCCTTTATAATGTATCTCCTCCTAAAAACCAGAGAGGATTTTAACCAAATTTTCTTACCATATCTATCTTAATGTTGTTCTATCTCTAGACTAGATTTAAAAACATCCTTTCCTTACCATATCTATCTAAATGTTGTTGTATCTCTACACTAGCACTATAAGATACTTGGAACATGTTGTGTTGTACATGTGTAACACACTACATATTTGTGTCACACATTTGTAGCATCCTTCCTATATACAATGTGTGACAGACATATACCAGATGTAGCTTGCTATGTCAGATGGACATATGTTGGACACTTAAATCTTCTCCATGTTGTGTTGTACATGTGTAACACACTACATATTTGTGTCACACATTTGTAGCATCCTTCCTATATACAATGTGTGACAGACAGTTACCAGATGTAGCTTGCTATGTCAGATGTACATATGTTGGACACTTGAAGATTGGTATAAGTATGTCTGACATATGTTGGACACTTGTAGATTGGTATAAGTATGTTGGACATATGTTGGACAATCATTTTTTGAATAAATGAGGTTGGTTCGACCCCTGAAGCCAGGGGGGCAGGGACCTGAAGGGGAACATAGCTAAATTTGCTTTAAATTGCATCTCCTCCTATATGCCAGAGAAGATTTCAATCAAATTCAGTCTGAAGCATCAGTCGGAAAGGGCAATCCTTTCTTAGATAAATGAGGTTGATTCCACCCCTGAGGCCTTTATAATGCATCTCCTCCTAAAAACCAGAGAGGATTTTAACCAAATTTTCTTACCATATCTATCTTAATGTTGTTGTATCTCTAGCCTAGATTTAATAACATCATTTCCTTACCATATCTATCTTAATGTTGTTGTATCTCTAGCCTAGATTTAATAACATCATTTCCTTACCATATCTATCTTAATGTTGTTGTATCTCTAGACTAGATTTAATAACATCATTTCCTTACCATATCTATCTTAATGTTGTTGTCTCTAGACTAGATTTAATAACATCATTTCCTTACCATATCTATCTTAATGTTGTTGTATCTCTAGACTAGATTTAATAACATCATTTCCTTACCATATCTATCTTAATGTTGTTGTCTCTAGACTAGATTTAATAACATCATTTCCTTACCATATCTATCTTAATGTTGTTGTATCTCTAGACTAGATTTAATAACATCATTTCCTTACCATATCTATCTTAATGTTGTTGTCTCTAGACTAGATTTAATAACATCATTTCCTTACCATATCTATCTTAATGTTGTTGTATCTCTAGACTAGATTTAATAACATCATTTCCTTACCATATCTATCTTAATGTTGTTGTCTCTAGACTAGATTTAATAACATCATTTCCTTACCATATCTATCTTAATGTTGTTGTATCTCTAGACTAGATTTAATAACATCATTTCCTTACCATATCTATCTTAATGTTGTTGTCTCTAGACTAGATTTAATAACATCATTTCCTTACCATATCTATCTTAATGTTGTTGTATCTCTAGACTAGATTTAATAACATCATTTCCTTACCATATCTATCTTAATGTTGTTGTCTCTAGACTAGATTTAATAACATCATTTCCTTACCATATCTATCTTAATGTTGTTGTATCTCTAGACTAGATTTAATAACATCATTTCCTTACCATATCTATCTTAATGTTGTTGTCTCTAGACTAGATTTAATAACATCATTTCCTTACCATATCTATCTTAATGTTGTTGTATCTCTAGACTAGATTTAATAACATCATTTCCTTACCATATCTATCTTAATGTTGTTGTCTCTAGACTAGATTTAATAACATCATTTCCTTACCATATCTATCTTAATGTTGTTGTATCTCTAGACTAGATTTAATAACATCATTTCCTTACCATATCTATCTTAATGTTGTTGTCTCTAGACTAGATTTAATAACATCATTTCCTTACCATATCTATCTTAATGTTGTTGTATCTCTAGACTAGATTTAATAACATCATTTCCTTACCATATCTATCTTAATGTTGTTGTCTCTAGACTAGATTTAATAACATCATTTCCTTACCATATCTATCTTAATGTTGTTGTATCTCTAGACTAGATTTAATAACATCATTTCCTTACCATATCTATCTTAATGTTGTTGTATCTCTAGACTAGATTTAATAACATCATTTCCTTACCATATCTATCTTAATGTTGTTGTATCTCTACACTAGATTTAATAACATCATTTCCTTACCATATCTATCTTAATGTTGTTGTACCTCTACACTGTATTGCGTACTATAAATGTCTTAAGGTAATAGGATTATTGTGTCGCCATATCTCAGTTAAATTTTTTCAAATTTTGTAGTTATATTGCTTTGAAGTAAAGAAAAATTTTCTGCCACAAAAAAAAATATAGATTGTCAGAATTGTGAGGATTTTAAATGGAAATCTATGTAAAAATGAGTGAATTTTGAAAAAAAATGAAACACGCAATGTTTTGCAAAATAATGTCAATCAAAATGATACTGACATCGATTAGTATTGCATTAATGTATATCAATTTCAAAAATGCTGAAATTGTGTAAAATTAATTATATATAAATGTATAAAAATTGACATTTTATAATAAAACCATATACACATAGTAATTGCAGGTAAGAGTTATCGTTCTTGAAAAACTTCACAGTAGTGAAATAGGTAGCCGGTTTCCTGAAGGACAGAACAACGGACGCATGTGACTCATTAATTAAAAAACAACTGAATTAATGCCTGGATTGCTTTGAAATACTTTAATATTGAAAGAACACACTGTTCTGTCAATAATAAATCTACAATATTCATCAGTTTAATATTAAACATTAGAATATGCAGAAATTGTGATACTGTCTCCCTACATTGGGTTTTCAACTAGGGATGTACTTCCTACTTCCGTTTAGCAATACACTCCTATGACCTTAAATGTCTGAGAACATGCTGTTTGGTAAGCATCACCTAGTTATTTTACCCTTTGTTCATATTCCAGGCCATGTGGAGGTGAGTGTAGGCTTTGAGAAGATGTGCTTTAATGGAGGACCATTTTCTTTCTACGGAGTCCAGGCTTTAGGTGAGTACAACTGTAATTAGGGACACAGTAGGGTATAACATATACTTGTCTTAAAATTTATTTTCTAAGAGAATGTGCTCCCATTTCATTTTTGCCAATTCCACTCTTAAATGAGTGTGTGAGTTTATCATGGGGATACAATTATTTTCAGTGAAGTTCAAATTTTGCAAAAGCAACTTTAAAGTGAAATAATTGCAGTATAAATTTGATTTAAAGATCAGAGTGCAAAAAGCTGGCAGACATATTTATTGAGGCATGCATCATTTAAGGATTCATATGGTGGTGACGTTTTATAGGGTTTGTACTGTTGGGTGACTCTGACTTAACAAACATACACAGCGTAGATCACAATATCCTGGTACACACTTAATATCTGGTGAAAAGGTAATCTGACACAAATAACTTGTGTTCAAGTAAACATTAGCCGAGAATATATGGAATACCTCAATATATTTTTTGAAAACATAGTCTGTTTTGATGTGCCTGTCGTTGATATAAATAGAGTGTTATATGTTTACCTGTATTTGTATACAGACGTGCCGGAGGGGACGGTGACACCAGATAGTAACACAGACAGTGTGTATGTAGAGCATAAACCATACATTCCTGACTTCACCATCCGCGCAGTTTCACCTTTACTGTTCATCAAGATAGGACGAGGCCACTACATCGCCGCTCGTCGAGCCACTCTCATGGGAAGGGCCAAGAACAAACTGGCAAATGCGGAGGACGAAACGTTCAAAAGAGAATGGAAAAAGGCGACCTTGATTTCCAATGCTAGTTCCTCTGATACTATGCTTCGTCACAGCTCCCCTGATATATCCAAACCTTCGATGGCTATCAGCGAGGCTAGTCGCACTGCCAGCTCTGGCATGTCAAACTCCAAGCTGTCACACACTGATAGCAAGGACTCAGGTTGGAGCTTCCCTTCAACAGACGAGAAGGGGGGAGCCTGCAAAGACCCTGAAGTCAAAGTGGAGGCTAAAGTCAGTTTAGAGGAGGAAAACGAGGAACATCATCCCTCGGATGAACAAACATACTTAATTGACTCAAAGAATGAAGTTGTAAGCTAACAACCTACACCCATATGGGATCAGATTAGGGTCCAGACTTTACAGAGTCTTCTCATATCATCATTCAGTTTATGGCTTTACACATCAGCCTATAGTCTGCTGAAACACAATGCATAACATTTACAAGATCAGTGTGCATCATAAACAAACAAAGGCATTGATAAGACTTTAGTCTGCAATACTGGTCCAACTCATCTGGCCAAGCAGCCTTTTGCAATCTCTATTAGCTTGGTACAAAGGCTTTGTTTCATCTTGTAAACTAAATGTTTAATCATATAGGTAATAAAAATATTTTGATAAAATCCTGGATTTGGAAGAGGTGCTGAAATTCAGAAGAGTTTGTCCTCAAGGATACTGTTAGATCATATTTTGGTGTATGTTACAAAAGGATGTGAACCTTGTTTGAGAGAAATGTACGGAGTGACCCTATGATCCCATGTGGGATTGAGATGTTATTGTTATGTAAATATTCCAATCAGTGAGCTTTTTTTTTATTAATATTTGTTATAGTTTATACTCCAGTTCAACAATTTTTGTTTTCAAATGAGATTTTTGATGCTGGCAGCCTGCTTCTTGATGTGTGATGACCTCAAATCGCTAAGGGAGATAACCTATATTAACAGTCCCTTTTTTATTTGAGGACATTGTTGTAAGTGAAGAATATAGAGGTTATTGAAATAGATTTATAAAGCTAAAAGGGAGATAATCTTACATTTTTTTCATTTCAGGATATTGGTATAAGTGAGGAACTTATATAATTATTATATGTTATAAATAGATTTCTAGCTGATAGATTCGGTAACTTACCTACATGTAATATCAATAAGTTTCTTGGAAATTGAAGCTTTTTAAATATGGCACATTCTACTTAATGCTGCTAGACAGCCTGACTATTTCCAGAGTATGATTAATTTCTCTGCATCCATAAGATTTCTTAGATGACCTTTCTACAGGTTATGATAAGTGGTTGTTAAATATATTTAAATCTGCTGTTTGAAACACTTTCTAATTTAGTCTGAAGTATGTTATTCAATTATCCCGTTAGTAGAATGAGAATATTTGTTTTTATTAAATACATGTAAATGATGTACAACAGTACCTAGATCACTGACTATTCAGACAATTTTCTCAACAATGAACACAACTGTATAAAGATAAAGTATCTCTAAGATAACCTGTGATGTATAGCGTGTTTACCAGTATTAGCTAGTGTATCTGACCATAGGGAATGTAATAGTAGTCTCTGGTCCCACCACAGTATATGGGCTTTATAGTAGCTACAAGTCCCACAACATGACATGGGGCTTTACTGTAGCTACAAGTCCCACCACAGGACATTAGGCTTTACTGTAGCTACAAGTCCCACCACAGGACATGAGGCTTTACTGTAGCTACAAGTCCCACCACAGGACATGAGGCTTTACTGTAGCTACAAGTCCCACAACAGGACATGAGGCTTTACTGTAGCTACAAGTCCCACAACAGGACATGGGCCTTTACTGTAGCTACAAGTCCCACCACAGGACATGAGGCTTAACTGTAGCTACAAGTCCCACAACAGGACATGAGGCTTTACTGTAGCTACAAGTCCCACAACAGGACATGGGCCTTTACTGTAGCTACAAGTCCCACCACAGGAAAACAGGCTTTACTGTAGCTACAAGTCCCACCACAGGACATGGGGCTTTACAGTAGCTACAAGTCCCACCACAGGACATGGTCTTTACTGTAGCTACAAGTCCAACCACAGGACATGGGAATGTAATAGTAGTCTCTGGTCCCACCACAGTATATGGGCTTTATAGTAGCTACAAGTCCCACAACATGACATGGGGCTTTACAGTAGCTACAAGTCCCACCACAGGACATGGGCCTTTACAGTAGCTACAAGTCCCACCACAGGACATGAGGCTTTACTGTAGCTACAAGTCCAACAACATGACATGGGGCTTTACTGTAGCTACAAGTCCAACAACAGGACATGTGGCTTTACTGTAGCTACAAGTCCAACAACATGACATGAGGCTTTACTGTAGCTACAAGTCCCACCACAGGACATGTGGCTTTACTGTAGCTACAGGTCCCACAACAGGACATGAGGCTTTACTGTAGCTACAAGTCCCACCACAGGACATGTGGCTTTACTGTAGCTACAGGTCCCACAACAGGACATAAGGCTTTACTGTAGCTACAATTCCCACCACAGGACATGGGGCTTTACTGTAGCTACAAGTCCCACCACAGGACATGGGGCTTTACTGTAGCTCTACAGGTCCCACAACAGGACATGAGGCTTTACAGTAGCTACAAGTCCCACCACAGGACATTAGGCTTTACTGTAGCTACAAGTCCCACAACAGGGCATGGGGCTTTTCTGTAGCTCTACAGGTCCCACAACAGGACATGAGGCGTTACAGTAGCTACAAGTCCCACCGCAGGACATGGGGCTTTACAGTAGCTACAGGTCCCACCACAGGACATGAGGCTTTACAGTATCTACAAGTCCCACCACAGGACATTAGGCTTTACTGTAGCTACAAGTCCAACAACATGACATGAGGCTTTACTGTAGCTACAAGTCCAACCACAGGACATGAGGCTTTACTGTAGCTACAAGTCCAAGTATATGGGCTTTACAGTAGCTACAAGTCCGACCACAGGACATGGGGCTTTACTGAAGCTACAAGTCCCACAAAAGGACCTGTGGATTTACTGTAGCTCTACACGTCCCACTACAGGACATGAGCCTTTACAGTAGCTACAAGTCCCACCACAGGACATGAGGCTTTACTGTAGCTACAAGTCCCAGTATATGGGCTTTACAGTAGCTACAAGTCCCAGTATATGGGCTTTACAGTAGCTACAAGGTCCACTACTGTAATTGACCTAATAAGTTCCCACATCTTATAAAGAAATATCAATCATATCACAAAATAAGAGAAGTCCAGCGAGGGGAAAGGCTAGTGAAGTTTAACATATATCAACATCACATGGCAGGATCATCTTGTCTGTTTGAACATGAATTTACATGGTAACCATCCCCGTTAATGTCCACGCCAGTTTTGCATATTTTCAAGCACCATGGGTACTTATTAGGTCAAATACAGTTATCAAAAACTGTATTATGTATATGATGTGATAAAAATAGTAATGTAGTTTAAAATTTATATATGATTAAAACTTTGTGTTAAACATAATGTCCTTGTGATGGTAGTTAGTATTAAAAAAATTACACAAAGCAAGAATTTTTAGCTCTTCCAACGACTGTTTCTTGGAGTGAAAGTACTATTGAGTCATGGTTTGTGTTTTTTCATAGCATTTATATACCTGTTGTATACAATTATAATTCTTTGCTGACAAACATACGGGCTGTCATTGTAACACACAGGAGTACACTTTATGGTAATAACTAACCAAGATGACAAACTTGGCTATTTTCAATTGACGTCTACAAAAACAATTGAAAAAATGTACCATATAAACTCTTGTTAGTGTAACAAGAAGGTCACAATGTTCTCACGATTCAATGTTATCAGAGTGGCTAAAGTTTAACAGATTTGCAGAATCAGGATGAAGGGCCTTGAGTAATATTCCCCGGGTCTGAGATAAGTCTCGCATACATGGTGAATACAGAACCCGAGTTACATACTGCTGTACAGGGTATGGTGAGTGTATCAAAGCAGTATCATAGTCATGCTGACTACTATTTGGACATTTTGAGGTTTGATTGTATATGTAAGTGCTGGAGTGCAATTTCAGAAATGTTCATCTAGTATGATAAAATGTTTCTTTCGCAGGCATACTGTATGAATCATATGGCAGGCTCTTACCAAGTATGTATTAATTAGAATATTTGAAGTCTCCTGGCCCAAATGAGGTAAAAGACCATCGTTGGATGCAAGCTGTTGTCAAATTAAAGGTCAACATTTTATAATGGACAACAAAGGTCTTAGAAATAATCTACAAATCTCCTTCAATTCTTCACTCCTATAAGGTCCTGCAGGGCCATGGGATTTGGCCAATGGATACCTTGGATGGAGTACTACAAAGCTCCTCAAATAAAGGACCTTAACTTATTTTCAAAGTCATCCGGGCCAAATCTGTTAAAATTTTGAACAAACTGCATTTAAAGATGGCACCAGCTGATACTGACACCAGCTGATACTGACAAGGGAAAAGGTCATTCCAAGAGGCATGGCTGATTTTGTTTTTCCATGCAGGTATGAAAATGAAAAATTGTCCAATGGAATCGTAGTACTTGGAATGAAAACATGAAAATAATTACTTAAGTGCATTTACATGGTCTGTTATTTAGCGCAATGTTGTGAGGGCTGAAGAAATCTCAGATTTGAGGACATGAGCAAGGTGTTGTTGTTGTTGTGTTATGTTTGTATTCTGATACAGATTCTATATGTTTATCTGTTGTACTTGTTATCCTTGTGTGTATCAGGATTGTATCCTATTGAAGCTGTGCATACACTTTGTGTGTACATCTGCTTTCAGCCATACATACAGGTTGTGTGTATGTGTTCTATCAGCGATGCTTGTACTGTGTGTGCATAATGTCCATGTGGTTTGAGCCGTACATACAGGTTGTGTGTGTGTTCTATCAGCGATGCTTGTACTGTGTGTACATAATGTACATGTGGTTTGAGCCGTACATACAGGTTGTGTGTATGTGTACTATCAGTGATGCTTGTACTGTGTGTACATAATGTACATGTAGTTTTGGCCGTACATACAGGTTGTGTGTGTGTTCTATTAGCGATGCTTGTACTGTGTGTGTACATTATGTACACACAGAACAAGCACAACTGTAAAAACACACACACACAACCTGTATGGACAGCTCAAACCACATGTACATTATTTACACACAGTACAAGCATCACTGATAGTACACATCCACACAACCTGTATGTACGGATCAAACCACATGTACATTATTTACACACAGTACAAGCATCGCTGGTAGAACACACACACACAACATGTATGTACTGCTCAAACCACATGTACATTTTGTACACACAGTACAAACATCACTGTTAGTACACATACACACAACATGTATGTACGGCTCAAACCCCATGTACATTATGTACACACTGTACAAGTAGCGGTGATAGAACACACACACAAAATGTATGTACGGCTCAAACCACATATACATTATGTACACACAGTACAAGCGTAACTGTAAGTACACACACACACAACCTGTATGTAATGTGTTCTATCAGCTATGCTTGTACTGTGTGTACAAAATGTACATGTGGTTTGAGCAGTACATACATGTTGTGTGTGTGTGTTCTACCAGCGATGCTTGTACTGTGTGTACATAATGTACATGTAGTTTTGGCCGTACATACAGGTTGTGTGTATGTGTACTATCAGCGATGCTTGTACTGTGTGTACATAATGTACATGTGGTTTGAGCCCTACATACAGGTTGTGTACATAATGTACATGTGGTTTGAGCCGTACATACAGGTTGTGTGTGTAATGTGTTCTATCAGCTATGCTTGTACTGTGTGTACACAAACATGTCAAAAATATAACAATTTTTGCTGTGTTTGTATTAAATTAAAAATGTAGTTTCTTATAATGTGACCTGGAACCTTTTTATTTTTATTTTATTAATTCTGTTCTAGGATGAAAATGTCAGACAAAACCCCATTTTTATCAGATAAATGTCTCCCTAAAAATGAAAATAACTCTTTAAGTCAAAATTGAACAGAACTATATCTAGGTGATTTATTATTAGAAAACTCAAATTATTAGTCACATTAAAAAAAATGTTGCAATATTTGCGGGTTATTATAAAAATCAATGTTTGTTTCAGAGTCACATGGAAGAGCGACCCACTTGATATAGCTTAACTCTGTGGTGAAAATAGCAAATGATATCTGATCTACAACCTCCAATAGTGGAACCTCTATCCACTCCTCGCCCTCACTCCCTCATCCCTACCCCAACTTTTGGGGCCCACCAAAATTCGTTTCTTTGAAAAACATTTTAGTATTGATATTTTCAAGTAATATTATTACCTTCAAAGAGTCCTGATAAACCCACACCTCTGTGTAAGTAGTTTTTACATGGAATAGATATTCAGACTCTTTAAATTATCACAGGACATCGGGCAAAGTTGCAATAGTTCATGGGTTTTTTGTAGTCTGCACTCACATTGGTATTTTAGATCACAAACACAAAAAAAGCATGTACAATGTCACACATTTCAGATTCTATACATTGTTACATATATTAATACTGTTAACATTTTAAAGGCGAATTTGCTATATGCAAACTATTACATCCATTGTTTTATTTATTAATAAGTAGTTGCAGACTTTTAAAATCTAAATTTGATCTTTACTGTTATTACTCTTAAGTAAAGTGTAAAATAATATAGAATTTTTTCATGTTACAATTGAAAAATAAACAGCACTGGCAAAAACTTATTATGTCACACAATATAGGACTTTCTAAATCAAAGTTTAGTATTCTATGTCTTTTTTTTCATAAAGTTTCCCACAGAACTGCTTGCATAAATTAATATTTTTGTCTTCAATTCAGACATATTTTAAGATAAACTCCCTTTATGTTGCTCAGACTTCAAGTGGAAGGTTTTTTAAATAGTCAGATATGGTGAACTGTTGGAATGATTGGAATGAAACTTTTTCTAATTTCTTAATTAAATTTAAACTTGAATTAACAAATAGCTATTTAGCTTCCCTTTAGATATCAGATACGTTGATGACTGTTGTGGAGGATAACCTGTCCTCCAGTCAGAGGGGATCCCAATTATATCTTGATGAACGTGTGAAAGACAGATGATGTTTTTTCAAAATGTGACACTTTGGTAAACATTTGTTAACACATTGAAACTGGAAAGTATGGAAACCCCTTTATCCTCCCTGAAACCCCCTTTATCTTCCCTGAAACCCCTTTATCCTCCTCTGAAACCCCTTTATCCTCCCTGAAACCCCTTTATCCTCTGCTGAAACCCCTTTATCCTCCTCTGAAACCCCTTTATCCTTCGCTGGAACCCCTTTATCCTCCGCTGAAACCCCCTTTATCCTCTCCTGAAACCCCTTTATCCTCCGCTGGAACCCCTTTATCCTCCTCTGGATGGGGTAACATCACGACACTCGATTGAGTCGAGTCATGTCAGTGGCTTGCTAGCAATCATCTTCATGATGCAGGGAGAATGCTTTTCTCTGCAAGCCCGATTTTTAAGAATTGTAAGGAAAAAAGTCAAGTCTTGTTGAATGGCCAGTTTATTAAGTGCCATCTTGAAACCCAATAACTACATTGCCCAACATCCTAAAACTTCCAGGGGTTACACTCACTTATATTCTCTGCAACCCTAGACTATGTCATTGCAAAATTAAAGGCATGTAGTTAGCTATTTGATTGGTTTCAGCTGGAAAAAAATATCAATCGCTGGGCTTAAACCTCTCCCTACAGAAAAGCAATGTCCGACTTTAAAACCAGTCAG